TAAATAATTTCATTATTCTACATGTATAAAAATAATAAACTCTAATATCTGTAAACTCCGACAAAATATGATAGATGATTCTCAACTTCAGAAACAAAACGATATTATGCATCGACTGTTGATTAGCAACATCTGAAATCTGGTGTAATCTGGCTAGGCAGCATTCAATACATGATTCACGTCTTTAGTAATTTATATTTATTAATATCTTTGGAAATCAATTAATACATAAGGCTGAAACTGTATATTCAATATTCTCATTCTATTCTCTCCAATTTTAGATCATTATGTTGAATGGGTCATATCGTACTACAGCCGAACAATCAATGACAATAATGCCTTCATTCACTTCTATTGATGTGATGGCAACCTTTTTTTATTTTTCGTTCATTCTATCGGATATGTACAGACAGATATATCCAGTTCGTCAATAGACCCCTGTCTTATTTATTTGATTCAACATACTACGGAAGCATTATGTCTGTCAGGGAAAAACTTTCAATTTTACATAACTATATGTAGATATACATATACTTTGATTGCATGTATTTATCCTCATTGTTAGTGGAATTAATTTTGAAATTTACTGTTTCTTATATTTTACATACTATAGATTACACGATTACTGATAAAAATAAATATCTGTCCAACATGTTCCATAAATAGTATATTTATATACATACGTACGTTTACACATGAATACATACATCTGTGTATACAATCCAGAGAGAGATGGATAAAGCTTATCAACTGGAAAGGTTATCAATGAAAGATGAATAAAGGACATTTTAACTAATACATTCGTTTCCCCATTTTTATCTAAGTGTGACGGACATGAATAATTACAGTTCACGTTTCTAATCAATACAACATTTGGTTTTTTCTTCTTTTGTGACCACAACCATCTTCATAAGCAACCGAACCTAATCGTTCTACGATAAGATTAGTTTGAGAAAACGTGAGCTTCCAAGTTAGGATAAGAAAGAGTCGACAGCTATTCTGAATTATAAGAGAGACAGATAAAGAACCTTACTCCAATACGTATTATCATGTAAACAGTAAAAAGTGAAACGAATTAAAGATATTTTAAGTTACGTTACTGTCTGGAAATTTTCGAGTTAAATCGAGTCGTGCTAGATTTTCATATTCAAACAAGAAGGGACGGAAACTTGTTCGTTCTTGGTAACTATTAAATTCATGGCGTTTCCCTCGCCGCCGAGGGAATATAGGGAGACGATAACGTGTATAACGAACGGTTAGATAACGGGTGACATGTAAGTTACTGTAGTTCGATAAATGGTGGTCGAGTACAAATAAAAATGTTCAGTAACGCTTGCCATCGGAGACAATTACAGATACATCTGGACCAAGCAACGAGAATCCAACCACATACTTACATACATTAATTATCTTATCTTTTAATTAAGAAGTATCACAGCTGTGTTAGAGCTTATACATGTGTAACGTTGCACAAGAACTTCAATTACTAATACCTATTCCTTTAATAAGATGAATACTTTACCTTGACCGTAAGAATTTAGTCGACAAAGAACTTTCTTATACACAGATTGCAGATTTTATTCATAAAATTATAAAAAAGGATACACAGAATATGAAAAGTGGAA